GGGGTAAGGAGGTGATAGGGGGAAGGGACGGGGAGGACTTCCTCCGCGACGCAGCGGCTAACGGCGGCAGCGGCGGAAATAAGGATATCATTTATGTCTGCTGGCGCCACCGCACCGGGGGTCGCGGCCTCCACACACACACACACACCTACACACACACACTTACCTCAGCGCACCGCAGCGCGACACGGAGGGCTCGTCCCACGGCCTCACGGAGGGGTGGGACGTGACGAGAATCCGACCGACCGAGACCGGGGGGCAGCGGGGTCGCGTCGTCCGCGGGTGGAGCCGCCCGGACCTTTCTCTCACTCCCTCTCTCTCTGGCTCCTCTCTCCTCCCGGGGCCCTCCGCTCACAATGGCGGCGCTAATGCCCCGCCGCTCCTCTCACTCATCCGCCCTTCATTAATTCAGCGAGAGGGAATATCCACGCCACGCCGAAGATACCACACACACACACACACACACAGACCGGGGTCAGAGGTCATCCGCGCGCTAATCGTTAAACACGCAACACGTGTCGTGCGTGCGGGCCGGTGAGCCGTTGGGTACGAGAATTCGCACCGCTCCGTCGGTCGTGAGGAGCTCTTTGAAGCAGAGCCTCCGCGTCCACGCCATCTCCTGTGAACTCCCCCCCCCTCTCCCACCTCAGCGCCAAAGTCACATACGGTCGGCATAGGGCCTTTGCAAACCATATACACTGCCTGCACCGCCACCGAGTTTGCCCCCCTCCGCAGCAGCAGCCCAGACGCCGCCCGCCCCCAGGCTCCCCTACTTCCCCTTTCGCGTTGGCATAAACCAGAAACAGTGCACTAAAACGGCAAGGCGTACAGTAGCCGTGTGTGTGCGTGCGTGCGCGACAGGCGGATAGACGGACAAGGGAGGGGGATGAAGGGAGAGTCAGCAGGCTCGCTGTTTCCTTCCTCTCTCTCTCCTCTTTCCCGCGCTCCTATTCCGGAGATTGGCCGGATTAGCTCCTGAAAGCGAGGCGTCCTCGGCGGCGGCGCTGCGCTCAGCTCTGCTCAGCTCCGCTCAGCCGCAACGGGCGGCGCTCATTAAGCGGACGTAAAACCACCGGCTGATACTTTAATTATAATCGCTCGCGCCAAATCGCATTCGTCCGCTCAGCTTTTTTAACAACAGAAAATTGTTCGCCATTTTCGAGCATCTCCTTGCCCCTCTGCCCCCCTTCCTTTCCCTTGTAAGCAGTTTGGCCGAACGCGCCGGAATGCTAAGTGCAGGCGCTCTCACGCTCGCGAGGCGAAACAGGAGGGGAGAAGGGGTTGCGCAGGAGGAGGTGCACGGTGCCTGGCCTCCAGGAGGATGCACCTGCAGCGCACACATCATCGCGGAGCCTAATCGCCCTCCACCACCACCCCTCTCGAGTCGTTCGAGATAAAGTCGCCTGCTCGCTTAAAAACGTGAAACGTGCGCTCTTAGGTGTGTGCTGGCGGTGGCCCCGGCCCGCACCGCCGCGAGTTCCTGCTCCTGGCCTTTTATCTTTTACTGCCGACACTTGCCCTAATGCCCCGCCCCGCCCGGCGAGCAGCAGCAGCAGCAGCAGCAGCAGCAGCAGCAGCAGCAGCCAGGTCGCCGGCCACGACGCCACCCACGTAGCGTAGGGGGGATCGCAAGAAGAGCACTGGGTATGAGCGAGCAGCCCGCTGGTCGTTACAACAACCCTTTCGGAAGTTGGAAGCGGGGAGAGCGGCTGCAACGAGTGGGAACGCCACCGAACGAACGACGGATAAAAAGTTGATAATGAAACCGCAGCAGAGCCACTACTTTTTGAGAAGAGTAGGTACAAACAGCCGACGGACAAGACCTGCGAGAGGGTCGATTGGAACAAGTGGATACGCCCGGCCATCACAGAGTGGATACGGCACAACATCCACCCAACTCTGGAAAGAGTGGATACAAAACCCACCCGATTCCGGGAGGGGTGGTGGATACGCCACCAACGACGCCACCCCGCTGGAGTGAAATCTCTCCTTGATTTCCACGCTGCGTAATGGCGCGTGTTGAAAAGGGTGAACGCGCGGGGGGGGAGGAGAGCATGTCTTTAGGCGCGCCGCGGTCTGGCGTTGAGGAACGCGAGGGGGAGGGGGGGGGCGGAGGAGGAGAGACACGCAGGGGCAGTTTTCCCCTCCTTCGGTATGCGGTATTGCGAGGCGTAATGAAACCGAGCTTGTTCCCAAACGGGACCGCCTGCTGGTCCGCCGCAATGCGCCGTGGATGAGGAGGACGCGACGAGAAGGGAGCAGGATCAGGTCCTAGAGAGGGGCAAAAGGGACCACCGAGAGGTCTATACGGTCGAGAGCAGAGAGTTCATGAGGGCAAAGTAGATCACCTCTCGTCGCCCGGCCCGGCCGCCTCGCCAGGTAAAGATATAATGAGCCAAAGTGATTGGGGCATCGTTCACGCCGAGGGGCGGGGCGGGGCGGCGCCGGGTCACACAGCCATCCCGCCCCGGCCGGCTGCACCTCAATTGCTAAATAATTGATCCATTAAAGGCTGCGCCCAGGCTGCGCCGCACTTGTGTGTTGTCGTAATAATCTTGGCTCGCCTCACTCGGCCGGTCATAATGACGGCAAAGCGGTTTGGCGTAGCGAGGTGAGGTTATGTTGGGGAGGGCTTGGCTTGTCGTCCGAGCGGCGTCCATGCAGCAACAAAAGAAAACACACACACACACACACACACACACACACGACCAGTCCCAGCAACCCGGCATTAGCGAACATAAAGGGGGAGGCCAAATAAGTTGTGTTAATCGAGGGCTTGCGTTAGGACATTTACTTTAAGCGGAATAAGGGCAAGCAGGTATGGTTTGATCATTGTCTGTCGTGTAACCCTGTATAGAGTCACAGTTGTGTCGGTTCGGCTGCGACTTCCTAGAGCCAGGCCGGCGGCGGGCCCAGCGCGGGGTGCGCCTGTAGTCGGCGGACTAGGCCACCTATTGGGCTCGGGCGCGCTGCGGGCGCTGCTGCGGGCGGCGGGCGGGTGAGTGTGTCCGCGGGCGGTGGGTTTGGTTTGGTTGTGCGAGGGGGCGGGAGGAAGGGTGCGAACGCATAGGGCTGATACGATTGACGAGCCTTAATTTCTCTACGGCAGACGCTTGACTGAATCAAAACGCAATCGTGTGATTGATACCATCGGCTGGGAGTGATGGACAGAGGAGAGGGAGAGAAAGGGCAGGGAAGAGGGGGAGTGTGCGTGGCCAGGAGACAGAGAGACCTGCCAATCGGATCGGATGATACCCGGCACCCCTCCCCTGCGGGGCCGGAGATCGATGCCATATTTATTAAGAAGTTTGCACAGCGCTCTTTCCCCGGGGCGGCCAGCGGGCTATTAATCAAAGTCTCGTCCGCCCCATTCAGAGGCGGATGGACTGCTCGGGGGCGGCGGG